TAAAGGAAGTATAGTGGACATTCAAGAATTGTAGCCAGATACCATTAAAAGTATGTATACACTTTTAAAGAAGAGAACTACAATTAGTATTTTCCTCCAGCAAGAGGCAGTCTTCTTTGGAATTTGAACTGAAGCCATAGGTTAAATTTTATACATCAGATTTTAAAACAAAAATGTACTAGGTGATCCCAGATACATATAGGTAAAATCACATAAAAGAACATAAAGAACTAAAGAAAACACCTTGAAGAACCCTGAGGGAGTAAATACGTTTATCAGATTCTCCTCCATTCCAGCTTCCTTTGGGAGCCAAGTGCCCACAACTGGGCTTCAGGGCTGTGCTTCTGCCCAGGAACTGGACAGAAAGGTGTTAAACAGTGAAGTAATTTCTATTGATCCTAAAGACCTGCAGGAGAACGTGAGGCGAATTGTGCATATTATGTTTATAAAATAATATTCCCAAATGAAATTTGATTCCTGAGAAAATGCAGATGATGAGAATGCAAATAAATGTTCATTATGAAGACTCCATGACTTTTTCTCTTTCCCTGCAGTCTTTGTTTATCCATTACCAAAATTGCATTTGGGCACAGTATTTTATCAAAAAGCTTGTGCAAACATTTTTATACAAGCCCTTTAACATCTAGTGGTTCCCCCAAAACTTTGAGGTCCTGAAAAATCTAATTATTACTGGTAACTTTAAAAGATCACAGTAATTTATTTTTGTCAAATGTGACTAAAGATTAATGGATACAATCAGGAATAATTTGGTAAAAACATATCAAATGCAGAGAAAGCAAAATTTGTTGTTAAGTGAAGCATCAAATATAATAAAAGAGCAAATTCCATGAATGAACAGCAACAATGCACAATTCATTAACCAAATGCTCATGATTATTTCACACTTCAGAGGGCTACTGATGTGATCAGGAATTGTAGTAAAAGGATAAATATAGATTACCTTCAGCATTTCTTTATACATTTTAATTATAAACACTACCCGAGGGCTACCAGCATAATATATGAAATACAACTAAGGTTTGTCTATACCTTTTATACATCATAATTCCATACATATGTAAAAGACAGTCAATTATTTTAAGACAGGAATCAATATGCCAAGAGATATTTAAAAAGTATAGCATGTTCTTAGCTGTTATTACTACAAAAATTAAACACCTGAACAATATTCAGGCTCTGAAATCTCTTATCTATTCAAAATCATCATCATCATCATCATCATCATCATCATCACTATCATCATCATCACTATCATCACCCAAAATCATCTGCTAATGGCACTAGCTAATGTCCTGGTAACTACTGAATACTCTTCAGTGCCCAAAGAAAAAATTTATTTGTTCAGCAAATATTAATAAACAGTAAGCTCCTGGAGGTTAAGGCCACATCTTACTAGTCTTCATATTCTCAGAAATGGTTTAGAACTTGATTCACAAATAGTATTGTTTTAAATAGCAAGAAAAAAGTTGAAAACAACCTAAAGAATCATTAATAAGAACATCCTTACAA